ATCAAACATCTGGCTTTCATTGATCTTGGTAATTCTACTGCCATTTGTCCCAAGATGTTGGTAAATTTTGTTGTGGATCAAAATGCCATTTCTTATTATGCATGTGCCACACAGTTGGCTTTCTTCCTTATGTTCATCATTAGTGAATTTTTCATCTTGTCGGCCATGGCCTATGACCGCTATTTGGCCATCTGTAACCCTCTGCTCTACAATGTTATTATGTCACAGAGACTTTGTCACATGCTAGTGGGCATTCCATACCTCTACAGTACCTTTCAGGCTCTAATGTTCACTATTAAAATTTTTACATTGACCTTCTGTGGTTCTAATGTCATCAGTCATTTCTACTGTGATGATGTTGCCTTGTTACTTATGCTCTGCTCAAATGCACAAGAAATAGAATTGTTGATCATACTATTTTCAGCATTTAATTTGATCTCTTCCCTGCTGGTAGTCCTCGTGTCTTACATACTAATTCTGATATCCATATTTCAAATGCATTCTGCAGAGGGTAGGAAAAAAGCTTTCTCCACGTGTGGGTCTCATTTGACAGTGGTGATTGTGTTCTATGGATCTCTACTATTTATGTACATGCAGCCCAAATCTGCCCACTCCTTTGATAATGATAAAATGGCTTCTGTGTTTTACACATTAGTGATCCCCATGCTAAACCCCTTGATCTACAGCTTAAGAAACAAAGAGGTAAAAATTGCCTTCCGCAGGGTCTTTAGGAATCAGCACAAACTTTGTATCTAATATTCAACATGGAATAATGTTCTAATAAACAATGATAAAGGCAAATATCACTTGATAATGTATCTAATTCTTTTTGACTCCAGAACAAAGACTAATTATCATGTACAAAGCAATCTCTTCTATTTAACCAATATACTTATATATATATTCAGTTCATATTTTGGATCTTAATTAAATGCACTCACCCAAAACATTCCTTGCTTTTGATTCAAAGTTTATTTTAGTTATCCCATAGAACTTTACATTATTCCCACTGGAAACCTTATTAAATGCTGCATAAGTAAACTAAGTGTGTGTTTGTTTCTTTCAAGTTTTTTTGGGGGGGGGCGAAGGGGATAGGGGGTAGGTATCTTCGCAATCTTATTTACTCTGTATTTTCTGAACCCACAACAAAGTATAAACACAGTGAATCTTTTGCAGATAATGTATAGTTGGATCATGATTCCTTAAAAATCCATTCCCCCAATTCCTACCTTTGGAGAATTGAATTTATTTACATTTAAAGTAATTACATTACAAGGTCTTCTTGAGTTTATGGCTCAACACTAACTTAGGAATGGTTATAGTAAAAGTCCACAAGTGATTAAAAGAACGAGCATGGAATTATGAGCTGAACAATTCCAGGGTCACATAAGGGCAGGAAGACATGAAAATTTCCGAAAGCCCGTGTGTAGAGTCCATGTTTAACACCTAGGCATCCAGTAGAGATCTGAGGTAAAAACTACTTCAGATTCCTGTTCGTATAGTTTGAAAACAAATCTCAAAAAAAGCCAAGTAATACTTGTTTACAACATTATGAACATTGTTTAACAGTGTTTATAACTTAGCATTATCTTAGGAAGATAAAAAATATATAGTCTTCATTAACAGACAATTCACAATATTCAGCATCCAATCACAAGTACTAGATATGAGTGAAGGCATGTGAAGAAAGAAACATGTGATTCTACCCAGGAAATAATTAAAATAGGTTCTAAAATGACAGTGATGATAGAATTACCAGGCAAGGACTTTATAACATATTAAACATATGAAAACATATGCTCCATGTATTGAATAATTTAATAAAAACACTCACCTTTTGAGGACACAAATGAAAGATTTAAAGATGACCAAAGGGAACTTCTATAAATTAAAATACAATATTAGACGCAAACACATAAATTGGACGAAAGTAACAACAGCTGAAAAAGAAATAACTTCACTTAAGCATATCACAATAGAGGCTACCCAAAATGAATCCAGAGGGAAAACAAAAATTAAATAAACACTTTGAAAATTGTCTAAGTGATCTCCAGAACAATAACAAGCTGTATACTATACATTTAAATGTAGGCCTAAGAAGAAAAAAGAGAGAATGTGGAACAGAAAACCCATTGCAAGAGATGTTGGCCAGAATGTTTTTTTTCCAAATTCATTGGAAAACATTAACTACAATCCCAAAGATTTAAGAAGCTAAAAATATTCTAAGCAGGGTAAACAGAAAGGGAAGTATACCCACATTACAATCAAATTTCCAAAACCCGATGATAATGAGAAATCCTTAAAAACAGAGATGAAAGATACTTCATGAACAGGGAAAGAAAAGATTTACCACTGATGCATTGGCAGAAACAATATAAGTCACAAAACATTGCCTTATGTGAGCCCATAATTATATATCTAGTAACAGTATATTTGGATAATGGATGCTGTACTATCCAATATCGCATTATCTTTTTCTAGGAAGCCATTCTTTCATTTACCCTTGCATAGTTGTGTGTGTGTATGTGTGTGTGTGTGTGTGTGTGTGAGAGAGAGAGAGAGAGAGAGAGAGAGAGAGTATGTGTGTAATATAACTAATATGTGCATGAACTGAAATGCTGAGCATATTTATGATTCCCAGTGTTCAATGATATTGTATAATTTATTCAGTTAGACACCCATACAAAACACTTCTGATCTTTCTCAATGGGATACTCCAGGAATAATTTCAGAGACCCATGGTACTCTCGCTCAAGTAATTACATGCATTTTTTTTTTTAATTCTGGAGTCAGATTAAAACTTTAACAGAATGAGTCTCAAGGGGGCAGGGAAATGCTTAAATACATTCTGCAGCAACCAGTGAGGATTAAAACAATAGGAAATGAAAGTTGATTCTCCAGTAAGGTAAGTAGAAAACACTGGTCTTGGAAAATGTCAGGACGTACAGCTTAAACTGGGTCATCACCAAAGTCTTGAAGGGCATTATGCTCTGCAAAATTGCTTTTTCCTTTGCAGTATACTTTTCTGCCATCAATAGGATTAATGTGTAGGACAGATCTATTATATACTCTCTGGTACTCTGAGCTGTGCTATTAGATCACCTTTGTTGTCAAATAACTTAACTGCTTTTGTCATTTGTTTTAACAAGAATCTTCCTGTATCCTTATTTACCTCATGTTCCTCTTGTTCAACTATTCATTTCCTACTGACTCAGGGTGACCTTAATAGAGAGAAAGACTCCTATTGTGTTTATGAGAATATACTCTGAAGACAGAATAACTTTTTTTTTAATTTTGACCCCACCACTTATTATCTGAGTGACCTTAGTTAAGTCATTTCCTTGACGTTCACATGGATACGGTCCTACCATCGATTTTCTAGAATTACTGTATGCATCATATGAGTTAATCTATGTAAAGTGCTCAGAAAAGTGTCAGGCACGTAATGAGTTCTCCATCAGTGCTTGATATCCATTTGTATTCTTCTTTCCACTGGGCCTCTTTGGATGTATCTCTATGAAGAATTCATAAATAATTAGATTGGCCAAATCCCTTTTAGTGCAAAAGGAGTGTATGATTGGAGGATCATTAGTATAAGTGATTCGCCAGGCAGAAATACCAGATGTGGCAAACGTGGACATGATACAAATAACAATATTCTGAAATTAATATAGTACAGCATTAGATTTTGTAGAGGGTAAATAGACTGAGCAGTAATGTGAGAATATTGAGATATATATTTAATGTCAAAGGTTTCCTGAACATCACCTTTTGCATCACTCCGTCAACCATTTGAAAAGTTTTTTTAATGTCTTGTTATTTTAAACAGATATGATCATTGTCAATAAGGTAAAGCTTATGGTTGAGGTGTATATGTTTGTTTTCTGGGCTTCAGAATTTTAGCAGACATATAGGGGTGCCAGGTGGTTCAGTCGGTTAAGCATCCGCCTTCAGCTCAGGTCATGAGCTCACCTTTCCTGAGTTCGATCCCCAAGTCAGGCTCTGTGCTGACAGCTCAGAGCCTGCAGCCTGTTTCAGATTCTGGGTCTCCCCCCCCCCGCCCCTCCCCCGCTCATGCTCTGTCTGCCTCTCTCAAAAATAAGTAAACATTGGGGTGCCTGGGTGGCTCAGTCAGTTGAGCATCTGACCTCGGCTCCGGTCATGATCTCAGGGTTTGTGAGTTTGAGCCCCAGGTCAGACTCTGTGCTGACAGCTCAGAGCCTGGAGCCTGCTTCAGATTCTGTGTCTCCCTCTCTTTCTGCCCCTCCCCTGCTCACGCTCTGTCTGTCTCTCTCTCAAAAATAAAAACATTAAACATTACGTTTAATAAAACATTAAAAAATATTTGCAAAATTAAATAAATAAATAAACATTAAAAAATTAAGTTTCCATCACTATGTGTTGTGTGTGGGTCTCAGTCTATCAAAGTGAAGCTATCAATTAGGAATGCCCAGGGACCCATGCTATTCTTGGTCTCAGAGAGGTGGGGAAAGGACTTGGAGTTCTGCCTTGATTGGGGTCAAGGATGGGATGTCTGCAGTTTCATGGGTTTGCTCGTCATCCGTGAATTTAAAACCTAGGAGGCAGGAATTAAAGCTTGGGAAGGGAAATGCAGGGTACCTCCAGCAGTAGGCCCTCTAGGTCACCCAGGGCCTTCCAAAAGGGGGACTTCATGAGTGAGGTGGTCTGATCTTTCCCTAGCTGTGTACCTGGCAACGTGCTTATCTGAAAGGGATGTTTTTGAAATCAATGCCTTGGCAATCAAAAGCTTAATCTCAGAGATTTACGTTATAATACATTACAATTAAAAAAGCTGATTGTTAGGCATTTGCACTACAGTGTGAGTGTAGGTGTGTGTAGTTTGGGCCTGAGGGGAAGAGGAGTTTTCATTTATGTTTCAAGGTAAAGAGAGTATATCTCTATCTCATGCACAGTATTTTAAATTCTTTTAAAAGATAGCCTCTCAAATATAATACATAGTGATTTTGTACCTTACACAGGTTACCAAGATGAATCCTATGGAGAAACAGAATCATTCTGCAGTGATTGAGGTGACTGAATTTATTCTCCTGGGGATCACCAGCAACCCTGGGCTGCAAGCACCTCTCCTTGCAATCTTCCTTATCATATATTTGATCACAGTGACAGGCAATCTGGGCATAGTTATCTTGACCCATTTGGACTCGAAGCTAAATACCCCCATGTACTTTTTCCTTAGACATCTGTCAATTACTGATCTTGGTTACTCCACTGTCATCTGCCCAAAAATGATGGTAAACTTTGTGGTGCACAAAAATACAATTTCCTACCATTTGTGTGCCACCCAGCTGGCAGTCTTTGAGATTTTCATCATCACCGAACTGTTCATTCTTTCAGCAATGGCCTATGATCGCTACGTAGCCATCTGCAAACCTCTCCTCTATGTGGTCATCATGGCAGAGAAGGTGCGTTGGGCGCTGGTCCTTATTCCTTATTGCTACAGCACATTTGTGTCACTCTTTCTCACAATCAAATTATTTAAATTGTCCTTCTGTGGCTCCAACATTATCAGTTATTTTTACTGTGACTGCCTTCCTCTCATATCCATGCTCTGTTCAGACACACATGAATTAGAATTGATCATTTTAAGTTTTTCAGGCTGTAATCTGCTCTCTTCCCTCTTGATTGTTCTTATATCCTACATGTTTATTCTTGTGGCCATCCTCAGAATGAACTCAACCGAGGGGAGATACAAAGCTTTCTCAACCTGTAGTTCCCACTTGACGGTGGTGGTCGTGTTCTATGGGACATTATTGTTTATTTACCTGCAGCCCAAATCCAGCCATACTTTTGATATTGATAAGATGGCCTCTGTGTTTTACACCTTGGTGATCCCTATGCTGAATCCATTGATCTACAGCTTAAGGAACAAAGAAGTAAAAGATGCTCTGAAGAGAATTTTAACCAACCGATGCAAAATTTCCACTTAATATCATACAGTTCAGTTGCAAAGGTGGGTCCAAAAGTCTTTGTTTAATGCGCTGCCAGTTCAATTATAGCATCAAAAAGTAGAAATGTTTTACCTAATTGATCGCGTTCCTCCTTTTTTGGGCAAAACTCCTCCTATATCTTCCTGTATTCTTCTCCATCCCAATTGAATAAATGAATGAATTAATTAATTAATATTATAGCCAGATAATTTAAGTTCCAAGTTATGTCCAAGGTCATATTGGAGGTTGTAGGCAAATCATATTGAACTTGGGTTTGTAGAGGTTAAAAAAAATCTTAGTCAAAATGGAATAAAACTTACCAGAAAATACTAATGTGTTTTTTATAGTAGTGATTTTGTATTGATGATAGGTAAGATTGTGTATGCTAGGCAGGAGGCAAGAAAGTAAGTAAATGTGTGATTATAACACAACATGATCAAATCGTTTCAAGAATCTAGGCTAAATAAGAAAGCATAACACTTCAGAATGATATTATCAGTTGGCTTGAGTTCATATTTTCTATTTCAAGGATACAGGGGTCATCTGGGAAGATTGTTTCATTAAGAACATGAGAAAAATATTGGCTGATTCTTGGTCCCCCTTGACAGGTCCTCATACTGTATAAGTAACTTTGATTTACCATAGGCTCCTGATAAGCTGATTTAGAATCAACAAACTCAAGATCAAGGAGTTATTTGGTCGTCTATCAAAATGACATCAAGATTTTGAAAAATCTATAGCAGTAATAGCAAAGATTAAAGATAAATAAGGCTATTTTTTAAGTTTATTTATTTTTTATATTTGAGAGAGAGAGAGAGAGAGAGAGAGAGAGCATGAGTGAAGTTGGGGCAGAGAAAGAGGGAGAAAGAGCCAAGCAGGCTCCATGTTCCTTATGCAGGTAGGGTTCAAACTCATAAACCATGAGGTTATGACCTGAGCTGAGATCAAGAGTAGGATGCTTAACTGACTGAGCCACCCAGGCGCCTGTGAAACATTCCTGTCTATTTGGTCCCCTTCCTCAGACTGTATATACAGTGATGCTTTTGCATGGACTATGCTAACGAGATGCTTCATTCACATTGTGCACTCACTCAGCGAATGGATGGACTCCTTACATTTTTGTATTATCTTTGTTATTTCATGGATATTTTTTAGACTTTTAAAATATGTACACTACCTCACTAGTGTTTGTTTCAATCTGCCCTCGTATTAAAAGTTAAAATTGTGGGGAATTAAATCAATACATGAACCATGCCTTCCTTGTGCTAAATCCATGCATTTTGCTTACTTTCCTCCTTTAATGTAGTTTACTTTGTTAAGAGAGTTGATCTCAAATTTTCTCACGACAAATAGAAAAAATAACTATGTGAGGTGATGGATATGATAATTAGCCTGACTGTAGCGATCATTCCATGATATATTACAAATATCAAACCATTGTTTTATAGTTTAGTTTTATATAATGTTTTTATTGATTATAATCTCAATAAAGCTAGACTTTTTAATTTTTTAAATAAAGTGAACTGACTAAAATAAAACATAAATTCAATACAATAAAATGAATACAAAGTTGTGTTCTCTGATGATATCAACTTTGTTTACCATGTTGACTTTGGATCTTATCTGTCAGCTTATTTGTTGTTATGAGCGCATTTTATTTTCTAGCATAACAGTTTATATTGTACTGCACAGTCTTTTTCATTTCCATTGTTATCCACAAAACAAAAAGTAACATCAAATAATATTAATAGCTTTCTCCAATACCATCCATTATAGAACGGTATTTTAAAAAATCATAATTCACCATGCCTCTGCAACTTACTTTCCTTACTTGACAATTCATCATCATCATCTTTCTTGGTCAATAACTGTTTTTTAATATTAGCATTTTTAATATCAGCATACTGTGAAGTACCCATCAGTCACTTTGTCTTTGCCATTCCTTGGTTGATGAACATTTGATTATTTGCAGCTTTTTATTTATTTAATCATTATTTTTAAAAAATCCCTAAAAAAATAGCCTTGTACTTAGGGCTTGATATTACTATCGCTTCTTATTTCAGAGTAAATATTTAGAGTTTTTCACATTCTTTTAAAAAAATTTTTAAAAATACTTATTTAGTTTTGAGAGAGAACACGAGTGGAAGGAGCAGAGACGGATGGGAACACAGAATCTGAGGCAAGCTGCAGGCTCTGAGCTGTCAGCACAGAGCCCCATGTGGGGCTCGAACTCACAAACTGCGAGATCGTGACCTGAGCCAAAGTCGGATGCTTAACCACCTGAGCCATCCAAACGCCCAGGGTTTTTTCACATTCTAATGATATGTTGGGTAAACATTTTATAAATATGCATAATAACTTGAAATAAAAAAAAAACACAGAAGTCCTATGCATTGTGATTTTACCAAAAGTATTTTTATTTTATTATTTTTTAAGAGATATGAACATTTACTGACTTATCATTTTCATTGTGTGATTGCATGATGATAAAATTGCAACATGTGACTAATAGGTGATTATTACTTTCAGCTGATAATCAGGTGATTATTATCGTCACTAGCTGATATTGTGAGCTATTTGATATTCTAGCTACATCAGGAATGGCTCTAAAACATTACCTTCTTTTCTCCAGGAAATTTATCACATTCCTGACTTCATTGGTTAGGGCTATTGTCCCTAATTGCCACGAAGTACCGATTCTCATCATAATTATAATGGTAAATAGTTTAGAAATAATGCAACCGGGGCACCTGGGTGGTTCAGCTGGTTAAACGTCTGACTTGATTTCAGTTCAGATCATGATCTCAGGGTTCGTGAGTTTGAGCCCCACATTGAGCTTTGCTCTGAAAGTGTGGAGCCTGCTTGGCATCCTTCCTCTCCCACTCCCTCTGCCCACTCCCTGATCATGTTGTAAATAAATAAATTAGTTAATTAATTAATTAAAAAAAAAAACAGAATGCTACCAACCTATATGAAAATCCTTTGGTATTTGTACACTCTCTTTCTCCCAAAGTTAGGACCTTTAGTTTTTCTTGTATTTTCACCCCATATCTAATCAATGGCTTCATGCATACAAATTTTTAGTTTGGAAATTGGAATATATTTGTATCAATGATTAAATGGAATTAGTTACAAGGCCCCAATGTCTCAATTGCAAAGCGCACGCTCCAATTATTTCTAAAAGTCCTTGAGATTGATTTCCTACATGGAATGTACATTGATTTCTTGAATTCCTTTCCTATCACCTCTGTTTAAAAAACAAAAAAACAAAAAAACCCAAAAAAACAAAAAAACAAAACAAAACAAGATATACTGTTTCTTGAAGGGGCTTTTGCAAACACTTAAAATTTCCCAAGAAACTGGAGAGAGTTGGCTCAAAAAAGAATGGTCTCTTTTACTATGTTATCCTAAGTATCCAAGTAGTTCATCCCTTAACTTAACATCATAGGGTCAAGACAAAAGTACAACTTTTAACAAGACTCAATGTTAAGTTTGGGATCAAATTTTGATATGAAAATAATTTAATAACTGCTACCAAATGTTCCTTTTCAGAGCAGAATGTTCTAAACCTAACCTCATGGTATGCAAGCTAGGTCCCGCATATGTGGCTTTAGGTCTGCTTTTAACACAGTACACAAAAGATCCAGAATAGCTAAAACAATTTTTGAAAAAGAATGAAGATGAAGAACTTACAATATTGATTTAAAGACCAACTATCAACCTGGAGTAATCGAGAGAATAGAGTGCCCCAAACATGTACACATATATGTTCAATTATCAGCTAAGAAACCAACGTGACTTAATAGGATCCAAGATGTATTCTACAAATCAGTAACAAAAGACACTATGCAAAAACTGGAGAAAAAGATTAGAAAATACATTTCACAGAAGAAATATAAAAGGCCAATACACACATATAAAAAGTTGAACATCCTTAGTCACCAGGGAAATGAAATTAAATAACTATGAGCTACCACTTGTCACCCACTAGGGTGGATACAATTTAAAATAGTAGGTTGCCAAAGAATCACATATACAAAGAATCATATCAGCTGCTACGTTCAGCTCCTGAAACTACCATACGTTGCTGATTTTAAGGTACAAAGGTACTTCACTTTGGAAAATGGACTGGCAGTTTTATGTAAAGTTAAACATGTTACTCCCAGGAATTCTTTTCCTAGATGCTTACACGAGAGGAATAAAAAGATCTCCAGCAAAACAGGTGTATGTTAATGATACTGATAACTTTACTCATGGCAGTACAACATGGAAATATTTCAACTGTCCATCAATAGATAAAACATAAATTGTAGTATATGCATCGACTGAAGTACAACTCAACAGTAACATGGAATACATGTCCATGTGTATAACAGAGTGTGTGAATTTCAATAGCATTACATCGAGCAAAAGAAACCAGACATAAACATTATTCCATTTACATCAAGTTCCGAAACAGGTAAAATTCAGCCATCGTGAAAGAAATCACAGTAATTGTGGCTTAGGATACAGTGTGGGGTAATTAGCTGCAAAGACACACATTTTAAGGTGATGAAACTCTAATTGGAAGCAGGAGTAATACTGGAAATGTTATTTTTCAAGTGGTGTCCATGCACAATCGGCATTTTATTTTCCCTAAGTTATACCTTAAAAACATATTGTCTTATTTACATTTTTATTTAATTTTTAAAAATACATCGTTTTAGAAAAAACCAGTATAATATGGTCATTTTTTCCTTTTTCTTTCCAAGTTTTTATTTAAATTCCAGTGAGTTGACGTACGGTGTAATGTTAGTTTCAGGTGTGCCATATAGCGACTCAACCCTTCCATACAACCCTTGGGGCTCGTCACAAGTGTCCTCTTTCATCCCCACCACCCTATTCCAACCACTGCCTCATCCACCTCCCCTCCAGGAACCATCAGTTTGTTCTGTAGAGTTAGAAGTCTGTTTCTTGGATTGCCTCTCTCTGCCCTCCCCCATATTCATTTGATTTATTTCTTGAATTCCACATATGATGAAATCATATGATACTTGTCTTTCTCTGACTTACTTTGCTTAGCATAATACTCTCTGACTCTATCCACATCACTGCAAATGGCAAGATTTTATTATTTTTGATGGCTAAGTAATATTCCGTTATATATATATATGTGTGTATAAGTATATATACACTATAGCTTCTTTAGCCATTCATCAGTTGATGGACATTTGGGTTCTTTCCATAATTTGACTATTGTTGATCATGCTGCTATAAACATCAGTGTGAATGT